CTTGTAATTCTACATTTTTATGTGTCTTTAGGAAAGGATTTCCCCCTTCAAGGGAAACCATAACTAAACCATCTAGCTTGAGCTAGTAAAAGATATCTCACTGAAATATTTCCCACAAGATAGCAAACCTGAATCTACAAATAAGAATATTTGCAAGTTAAGAATCTTATTTTAAACCCTAAACAAAGTAAATACATTTTCTGAAAATCATAGGTAGAACATATAATATAGAATTATAGAGTTGGAAGCAACCTTAGAGTCTAGTCCAACTTCCTGCTTAAGCAGAAGAGCCTATAGCATTTCAGACAAATGGTTGTCCAGTGTCTTAATGGTCTTGGAAGGCACTCAATTTCTGCTGACTATAAGTTCCTCCTTTGCCAGTTACACTCCTTTTAACTCTCTCTTTCTTATTAGTGAAGTTAAACAAAAATATGAATTCCTTAGTACAATGAAAGAGGATGTGCATTACTGTGAATACAATCTCTGTTTCTTTACCTTAAAACTTTGATTATGGCATGGATAGCTCTATTACTGGAACTACATTGAGATTTTCTCCAGAACTTTCTAAACTCAAAATTAGCTCTATAAAGTTATTCTCAAGACACCATTTAAACTTTTGAATATTGTAGTTGGATTTACTTATTTATTTTTAGATATCATTTAACCTTGTATTTTCAGAACCATAAATCTTCTGTTTTGTGGTAAATCCAATTATTAACTCATCAGGACAGTTACTGTTTACAAAGAATGATTAATCATACATACCATGTGGAAGAAATAAGCAACTTCTGTGAAAGTAATCTCGGCATAAACTACTGGCAGCTTTGTGGGCGAGCTGTGTGAATAATAAAGAATGAAGTGCAATAAGTTAAAAAGAGAAGAAGAAACACGGCCCACGTTAACAAATTACTGTGATCACTTCTGAACTATAATTTGAGGTTAATTTTAATCACCCAAGGAATGGGTGCAGCCCACTGAATATTAATAGATATTCTGCTAGTTCTCTGAAATTTAATATATATGCATTTAGTAATAGAACTGTACTGAGTTTCATGTCTGCAATAAACCTTTGTTCTAAATTTAAGTTTGGGAATCCTTTTGTGATTGTTACAACCAAGTTAAATTTAATAGGCTCAGAGCAAAAAAAATTTCAGGCAGAAATCTAAAGACATGATGTTCTCTAGATGTGTTGAGCAACTCATATCAACACAATCAAAATACTTATAGATTATTATTCTCCAATATAACTGGATATCATTAGACTGCATCACAGTACACCTAATCAACAACAGACCTCTTCTCCCAATGTAATCTTGCTGTCTGTACCTAAAGGGTTAGCAGCACTGAGGCAAAAAACAACAACAATAATAACCTTGGTCAGAGATATTCAGAAAGATGGCCCTGTAGTCAAAAGGCAGTTCTGATCTAGTTTAATTCTGCTATTATTTTTCATGTTTTATGTATTCAAGCTTGAATATCAGCTTTTAGGTTAAGCATGGAAGCCATTCCCAAAACATAAAAAACAGTTTCTTTCTATGTCAGTTTTAAAGGTCTCTTTAAAGACAATTCCTACTTAATAGCAATAGCACTTAGACTTATATACCACTTCACAGTACTTTACAGCCCTCTTTAAGTGGTTTACAGAATCAGCATATTGCCCCAAGAGTCTGGGTCTTCCTTTTAAGTGACCTTGGAAGGATGGAAGGCTGAGCCAACCTTGACCCGGTGAGTAACGAGCTTCTGGCAGTCGTCAGAATTAGCCTGCAATACTGCATTTTAATCACTGCACCACCACAGGCTTTTCAAAAGACAAAATACCACAAAAAAGCACCTTTGGGACAACTATGACCTGGATGATTGAGAATTTCCATATAGACTATCTAAATGAACAGCCCTTAGTGCTCTCTGAGCTTGGTTGTTTACTTGCAGATGTTTCATTACCCAAACTAGGTATCATCATTGGTGCTAGTAAGGAATGGGGTTTGCTCTCAGTTTATATTCTAGTGGGCAAGCCCTCTAAATTGAGAGAACACTAAGAGCCGAGGTGGCGCAGTGGTTAGGGTGCAGTACTGCAGGCCACTTCAGCTGACTGTTATCTGCAGTTCAG